TTGGCCTCATAGACACAATTTAGCTGCCATAGCTCTAGTCATCACATCTGGGTTCAAGGGCAGCTAACAGTGAGGGAATCTAGGCCCATACTAGCTGTACCTGTCTCTTTTCATCAGGAGAGCAAAATCTTTTCCAGAAATCCTCTCACCAGACTTCCACTTCAGGTTTGATTGTCCAAAACTGGGTCAAATGACCGGTCTAGTAGAAGGGGCTGGGAAGTTTATTACAGTAACAAAATGGTCATGACTGGCTTAGAACACTGGTTCACAAATGAATCAATGTTTTGTGAGCACAAAGAGAATAGGTATTAGGAAAGCAACCATCAGTGTCTGTCTCGCTTTTCAGTCCTAAACCTGGGGCTGCTGCCAGAAAGCCTGCTTCTCCTCGGGCCAGGAGGGCCGTCTCAGGCCCGACTTCTCAGGAGCTCCACACCTGGTTTTCCCCATTCCCAAGGCGTGGTGAGGATAAACTGGCAGAGGAGCAATGGCCTGTTGCTGCCACCGCCCTGGGGCGGTGTCACAGGAAGCCTCGAGGGCCTCCACCACACCCATCCGGATCGCCTCTCCCCCCCAGACAGCACTCTGGGGAAGTTGGACTCTGTCCGGAAGGGATGAACGGAGAGTCTGTGAGTCCCTTTCCCAAGAGAGGCACAAGGCCAGTGGTTTCTGCAGAATCAACACAGCATTCCCAGTAACTCCCATCTGAGATGCTGCCCCGTCTCCCCGAAGCCCTGGCCCTCCCGCATGAGCTACAAGTAACCACTGATGCCCACATTCCAAGGAAATGTGATTAAAAATAGCAAGAGGAAGGAGGATGTGCTCCCAGGCAGACAATGTGTAGCCAAATGTGGGAAAAGAAAGGGAGGCGTCTGGGAACAGGGTGGTGACAGCCAGCATGTGCCCAGTGCCTGCAGTGCACCAGGTGCAATTCTGCCCCGCCTCCAGGGGACATTTGGCAAAATCTGGAGATGTTTTTGGATGTCCTAACTGAGGGTGTTATTGGCTTCTAGTGGGTCGAAGCCAGGGATGCTGCTAGACATCCTACAATGTACGGGACAGTCCCATGACAAAGAATGACCCATCCCAATGTCCACAGCACCAAGGCCGTGCGTTCGTGCAGTGGGGACCGCCAGTCTGTGCTGAGCCGGGCCGTGGGCACCAGCAGCTTTGCGTACGGAGAGTGTTCTGAGAGCAGGAGACCAGAGCAGGGAGCCAGCGAGGGGCTGGGGCGACAGTCCTGAGGAGGAAGGAGGACGCCAATCCAGGGCTGCGCTGTGGAGTGGGTGGGCTGGCAGGCTTGCTGGCTTGACTTTCTCTGACAGTTTATGAGCGACACCCAACATTCAGGCAAGATTGCTGTAAACTAGAAGTCCCAACAGCAGCCTTTGAAGCTGAGTTCCCCACCCACCTCGGTCGTGGGTTTAACAAACACTGACGGAGCAGGTGCCGCTCCAGGTGCAGGGCCGCGGGGGACAAACCCCCTGCCTTCGTGGGATGACACACACTGAAGAGATAAATGGTTAAAGTGCTGGTGACGTCAGGTGGTAGTCCGTGCTCTCGGGAAAAATCAGGCAGACAGCGGGTGGGAGTAGACTGCAGTTGTAAGTAGGGCGGTGACCTCACTAAGAAGGTGACTTTGGGTAAAGTCTTGAGGGCATATGGAGGCAGCCACAGCAGCTGACAAAGCACAGACCTTCCCGACCTGCCATCTAGGGACCGTCATGGGTGCACACCAACACTCTGGGACGTCATGGGTGCACATGAACACTCTGGGACGTCATGGGTGCACACCAACGCTCTGGGACGTCGTGGGTGCACATGAACACTCTGGGACGTCATGGGTGCACACCAACACTCTGGGACGTCATGGGTGCACACAACACTCTGGGACGTCATGGGTGCATGTCAACACTCCTGTGGATGTCATGGGTGCACATAACACTCTGACATCATGTGCACACTCGAACACTCTGGACGTCATGGGTGCACACCAACACTCTGGGACGTCATGGGTGCATGCAAACACTCTGGGACATCGTGGGTGCACATGAACACTCTGGGAAATCATGGGTGCATGCAAAACACTCTGGACGTCATGGGGCACATGATACACTCTGGACGTCAGGTGCACATGAACACTCTGGACAGTCATGGGTGCACCAAACACTTCGGACGCATGGGGCCCACCAAATTCTGGGACGTCATGGTCACATGAAACTCTGGACGTCCAATGGGTTGCACATCCACACTCTGGACGTAGGTATGCACACCAACACTGCTGGGACGTCACATGGGTGCACACCAACGCTCTGGGACGTCGTGGTCAGCGCCAACGCTCTGCGGACTCGTGGGTGCACGCCAACCGCTCTGGGACGTCGTGGGTGCAGCGCCAAAGCTCCTGGACTCGTGGGGGCACGCCCAATCGCTCTGGGACGGGTCGTGGGTGCACGCCAACGCGTCTGGAGCCGTGGGTCACCCAACGCTCTGGGACGTCCGTGGGTCACATGAAACGTCGGGACATCGGGGGTGCAACACCAAACACTTCGGACGCATGGGTCACACAATCGTCTGGGACGTCGTGGGTGCACAGAACACTCTGGACATCATAGGTGCAACACCAACACTCTGGGACGTCCATGGGTGCAGCCAACGCTCTGGGACTCATGGGTACACCAACACGCTCTGGGACATCATGTGCAGCACCCAACACTTCTG